GTACACAGGTAAGTTGGGGAACTAGGGATCAAGCCCTGGGATCTACCTCAGCTACCACGAATTGGTGAATACCGTTTCAGTAGGGATAGTGGGAGGTGAGGGGTCTTTGATGGTTTGGTGGTGAGTTAGTTGTGAGAGGGTGGATTGGGGTTGGATGTGTGAGGGGTAGGGGGGTTGTATGGAAGCTTTATATCTGTGTTATTGTGGCCAATTTTTTAGAATTAGTCTGTCGTTGTTAGTTGTGCCAAGTAACGCATTGCCCAGTTTGGAGGCGTAGAATTTTTGGATTATCAGATTGTTTTTGTTCAGTTGGGAGCGTCTTGAGTTGTTTTTTCCAGAGAGCGTGGATTTCGGTGTCTATTACTTGTTGGATAATGATGAGTGGGTTTTCTGGGGTGGTGAGTCGGTCATGGAAGGTGTTGTCGCATCTGTTTTTCGGACTTTTTCCATATGGCCCATAGGGTGCTTTTCTTCGATTTGGGAGGAGAGGAAGGCTTCAAATCCTTTGAGCGGGGGTGATTGGTTGAGGTCGAGGAGTAGAGTGGCGGGTTTGATTAGTAGAGTAGAATCTGAGATTTTAAACCATGAAGATTCTAGGGCTTGCCAGAGGGATCTTGCCTTCGGGCAATCCATGAAACAGTGGTTTAGGGATTCAGGGACTTTGAGGTTGCCTACCTTGCATCAGGAATCTTGTTCGGATCTGTTTTCTTGATTGCGTCTGATGCCCAACCATTTGTTTACTGGGACTGCTCTGAAAGCTAGTAGCGACCTCAGGCTAGCTAATTTTGTTTTTGTTTGTTAATAAACTAGGCTACCAGAGTGGCCCGGGACCACTTGCCCGGCCGGGCCAAAAAGGATTAAAATAAATAAAAATAAAATTTTATTTTTCAATTTGTATTTTTATTTTTAAATTGGTAACTAATTTCGATATGACCCTGAGGCAAAAGTTGTTCTGTTTATTTTTCTGCATAACATAGTTTTTTTTCGGATTTTTTGGGATTTATTTATTTATTTATTATTATTATTTTTTTTTTGGGACCATCCGCACGGGCAACACAAGGTGACCCGGGCGGCCCGGCTGGTAACCTAGTTAATAAATAATTTGGACCATTTCTCGATATTTATGCGTGTCATCCTTGCGCAGGGGCCATGCTAATCTTCTCTTTCTCTGTATTGTTCCGATTGTAAAGGATGTCCCAAAGGACAGGTTGATTGGTTCCTGATCATTCTGCTTCGTCAAGCTTTTGCGGGCTACCGTCTTCTCCTAAACGTGTCCTCATCACGACTGTGTTGGACTGGAAAGATAGCTTGTATGCCATTCAAAATCAGGGCGCGTTGTTTTCGGGGAAAGATCGTAGGGATGGGGCGACGTAAATCTTGGCCAGCTCCTGATCAGTCTTCTTCTTCTTCTTCTTCTTCCTTTTGCTGTGTTTCCATTTTGTGATTTTGGTTGGATGCAAAGGACAATACCGGAGCTTGTTCGAGTACTGTGTGGGACGCTGCCGACACAATTCCAAGAGTGTGGTTAGTGTGTTCCCCCCTCGTGCAATAGACCTTTTCCCTTGTCTTTTCTTTGCTTTGTCTTTTTCTGAGACTGTTGCATACTGTAACGTGCAGACCAGAACAAGAACCGACCTTTCAATACAAAGTATAAGATAGCACAACGGAAGACTTAGATAGCAGTGATCCGAACAATCAATGTTGTAATGCAGCCCTGAACATACATCACCATCATCGTTTCATAGTGTGAATGGGTCTGGCGCTTCACACAGGAAGACAGCGCCAGCCCAGAGCACGCACAGACGAGGAGGAAGGGGATAGACGAAGAGGAGGGGGAAGATGGGAATGTCGTCAACACCAAGTCTTCGGCACAAGCCCAAATAGTCCCTCGTCGAACTGTCTGAATCCCAAATGTCAAGTCTGGATCCAATGTCGTCAAGTCTCAAGTCACAACTCTGTCTCTCTCTGTCGTAGTCTGAGAAGTCAGGTGGCGAGAGGGTGAGAAGAGAAGGTGGACTTAG